CAGCCGATGTTTTCAAACTGTTTATTGTTGATTGCCAGTATACTGCTGAAACCAATAGAAGCATTGCTGAAAGCTGCTTTTCCTCCTCTAGTTTGTGTAACCCAACAGTTTTTTTGTATTTCTTTGTGAGCTTTTCCACCCCTTTATTTCTTTGACTGTTTTGCCTAAATAATGATTATTGAAGAACTGCCTGTTTTCTCCAGCTCTTTGTAATGTGTTTGTGTTTTTCTTCTAGACCCACTTGTTTTCTCCTTTTATCATTCCATATATGACACAAAACATTCCATACCAATTTGGTTTTGTTCCAGGATGCTGGTGTATTTGCCCTACTTAAAGGTGCGAAAGTGTTCAACACTTTAGGAGGAACCGACACCTTGCAGAATTACATTTCCCCGCCAATCAGTAGGTTTTACCATAGTAGTTTACTAAGCATTCTCAAAATCTGAAACAGTTGGGAAAATGAACCCTGTTTCTATATTCTTTTCATTGGCAACTTGCTACATAGGTTGATTACATCTTATGCTGCAAGAGATTTATACATTAAAAAAAAAGTAAAAAATTGAGGTCACTGGTTCAGGCTGTGTATTGACAGTGACTTGTGATTCACTTAATTTGAAAACCTCTTTTGAAGCTACCTATGCCCAAAGCATGCTTTGAAAAAAGCCTGGACTTTCTGGATAAGGTAATAGTACTATTTACTAGCTCCATCTACGTGTTTGCTGCTTACAGTCTTGCCCTTCATATGGGACACTGCTGAGCATCCTCCCTAATTCAAGGAGTTAAACTGACTGAGGAGTGTTCCTCTACTTTTTTTTTTTTTCTCCCTGCATAGTGCCAACTTGACTCTTGAACTTGACTTGCTGTAGGTTTAAATAAGGAACATTGCAAGGCAGGTGTTAAGTATGCATGTCTGAAGGAAAAAGGGGAAATGCAGAATTAAAGCAATTCTGAGTTAGATTTAAACTGTCATGGTAATGGAGCCTAATGTGTTTTCTGCAAAGTCTTTAACCATTTTTAATGTCTACTTCAGAGAGAGTTAATAATAGCACTTAGTCTGGAAATTTGAGCAGTGAGGAGACAAGATTTCACTGTGTATAAAAAGGTATGTAGATAATAAGGAACAATCTGAATAGAGGTAGCTCACAGCCAATACTCAGTGAACATAACTGAACCTGTTTGACATTTGCCCGAGGCCAGTCATTGTCCTCTTGATCTGAACTTGTGGGAAGAGAGGCATTGGATGCAATCTGCCCAGTGTGTTTGCAGTGGTGTCCTCATCCTCTGTTTTGAGCAGTGCAGGGCTGTTGGAGCCTGTCAGGCTGTGCAGTGGATTTTCTTAGTGAGAATTTAATCTGTGCAACCCAATGAGAAAAACTTATCTTGGCTAAAATCTGTTCACTGGAGGATCCTGGAGTCCACCTGCCATGGAGCTTTTGAGCGTGCATGGTGCTGCAGCATTGCCCAGGCAGTTCCTGTGGGTATAGGGAAATTTTCTTGTCCTCTAAACAGAAGACTCACAAAACAGAGGAAGCCCAGGAACGCAGTGAGCAAAGCAATGGCAGCCTGCATCAAGCATACTCAGATCATGCAACCCATCAGTGAGCACTGGCTTTCTCCGCTGTTGGCCATGGTGCCCCATGCAATTGCATATCTGTATGTACCTTTCCAGTGCCATCACCCCTCATGGCTGGGACGTGGTGCAGCTCTGGACTTGCTGGTGATCAGCACCGGGGCTCCTTTGTGTCGGGCAGTACACACCTTCCTGCCTGGCTGCCTGCCCGGGACACAGGCAAGGTGCTTTTTTTGACTGGCAGGTTCAACTGCAATTTTTTGTGAGTGTTGCTGACCTGATTGATTATTATTTTGACAGAGTACTTCAGGAATTTAGGGTTGAGGTGGTGGAAGGTAGTGAGGAGATGAAAAATGAGGGGTGGAAGGCTGGTCTGGAAGCAAAACTGTGCTGTGGTGGATCTGAGTTAGGGAGATGCGAGCTTGCTTGTCTGGTGTGGACACAGGTTCTTATCTGTTTATGGCAAATTGAATTTTGTCTGTGCTATAGAGGAAATGTTTTAATTGTTGGTAAATTTAAAAGGAAAAAAATACCATACAGTATTGAAACACTGACATTTCCCAGGTATATGTTTATCAGTTTCCAGGAAAAGAAAGTGTGTGTTCAAATTCATAGAAGAAAAACGTTTAGTGAGAAGCTGTTGGAAGATCCTGCCTACTAGTTTAGGAAGTTTGTGATCCACAAGCACTAGAAGCACAGAGGATCTACTGGTAAAGTGTCACTGTGTATTTACTTTGGTTTTATGTTCTTCCCTAGGCATTTTTTTTAGACCCCTGCTAGAAACAGGATACTAAGCCAAGCAATCTTCTGCCTTTTTTATGATTTGAGCTATACTACAAAACCTCTTAAATCATTTTTATATGCCAGTCTTTTAGTTAGAGCATAATTTTTTGAGGCAATAAAACTTGACATTCTCATGCTGCTCTTACATGATGCTGTTGAAATTCATATAATTAGCATCACCTCTTAGTGTGTAGCTTTGTATGGCAGTACAGGCATTAAAACATTAGTGATCTGTATAATCAAATTACTCTGTGTTGTACCACTATTAAAGTGTAAAGATTTGATTGATCTTCTGTAGGGTAATTTGGTTTTGTACACCTTTAGATATTACCCATCATGGTATTTGTGCTTGACAGCTTCAATTAGGATTGCCTTTTACATTACTTTTGTAAAGACGGGGTTTTATAGCTGGCAGTTTTATTGCTGTGTACCTCTTTGATTGCTATGACCAATTTCTCTATTTGTATTAAATCAAGGATTATCACCTTGAAAATCTCATGGTGTTGCAAGTTCTGAAATGTTTTTATGAACCTCTAATCGCAGGTGTGAACATTTATCAGCAAAAGGTTTTCTTTATTTCAAAAGCAGTTTCATTGCTCAAGTTCTGTTGTTTCACCTGCTAATCCTTTTGTTGTCCTAATATTTTTTTTTAATAACTTGTACTTACTGAGTCTGATTTGAATACTTTGTTTGGTAAGTTTATGCCCATAAAGCTTCCCATCTTCTTGATCAGATCTAATGGCAAGTGTCTGATAGTTGTGAGCACTTCTCCACACTCCTCCTGTGTTTTCTAAATCTTAGGTGGATTTCATGTATAAACATGTACATGTTAAAATTATCTGAGCAAGTTATTTTTGAAGTTTGCTGTTTCTTCTATGTGTTTTCAAAGTTTTATTTTGTTTCATGGTGTGTATGTGTGTGCTTCCCCTCCTCCCTGTTTTACTGGTGGAAATGCTTTTTTGCATTTTCCATTTATTATTAAGTGGAAATACAGACAAATTGGAGAAGAAAGGTTTAACATTTTTTAATATACTGTGTCATCACATTCAGCACTTAAGGCATCACCTACCTCTTTTCCTGTTCAAGATCTTGTTTGAGAGCATTTCTCCCTGGGATTACTTTGTTCTGTTGATTCCTTTCATGTATCCGGTCTCTAGGGTTCTCCCCTTTGCCACCCCCTAGTATCTGTGATTATATACTCTTGGGGCTTGATGAAGTTTCAGAACCCTAATGAGCCAGCAGGGAGTAAAAGTGGTTAACAGCAACAAGAATGAAGAGGAATGTCTTGGCTGCATTTCTGTATCTTGTGGAAAAAAAAGGTGGATTAAATCAAGTTCTGGAATAAGAGAACACTTAGCACTTTGCACTGATCTGTGCCCAGTTTTCTGCGCTAAATAGAAGGAATTATTTCCTTCCAGCTAAATTCTCCCTTTTTTCAAATGCAGCTTGTCTACACAGTTTATCTTTTTTTTTTCTTAAATACAACACCCACACCCCCACACCCCCCAACTTTCACGATTCCCTAGATTCTTGAAATAAGTTCAGGATGCTTAAATGCTGCTGTCTTAGTCACAGCCTTTCCAGTTTTCTTGACTTTCTAGCCATAATAAAAATAACTGCCATTATTTATGTTCCCAATTGTATTGTGAATATTTTAATTGAACTCGGTTCCTGCTGCATAGATCATGCTTGCAGAGTGCACCTGTGGCTGATTTGTCCAGTTGTTCTCTTAGCATGTCAATATATTGCTGAGCCTGGATAGTGTTTAACTGGGAGCAATGGAAGAAAAGCTGTTTGAGACAAGACGAAATGGTACTGATTACAAATACAGGATGGTTTTGTCCTGAGAATATGGAGCTGGGATTAATTTTACAGCTGGAGGGATAGGGGGTGACTTCTAGTGCTTACTTTACTGCTAACTGCTCATGACACCCAGGGCAAGCTGTGGGGTTCTGACCTCCTGACGAAAGATAATGGCAGCTTCAGTATTTTTAATACCAGACTATGTGTCTTATTTAGGAACATTCACCTTAGTGCTCTGTCATCAATAGTTTTGTGGGTCTTTCAATTTTCTAGGTTTATTAAAGGGTAGACAAAAAATATTAGTATTGGTGTACCAATATAATTCCTGCCTCTCACTATGTGCTTTGTGTTTTGATCTGATTACCTTGAAGTTAATTCCATCATGCTTATGTGTCTCAGGCTCAAGAAATGAGCTATTCCAGGAGGAGTTACCTGTAATTAACAAGCTGATAATGCAAAGCAGTTTGTTTTGAGTGTACACAGTTGTAAATAAGAGTAAAACTGGACCTGTGATTCTAAGAAGCAGACAGGTACATTCAGGAGAGTCTGTGTTGACTCTTCTGGAGGACTGTATGAAAAGTTGTGTTTCTTTCCACTATATTCCAACTTCTACCTGTTTATTAGGCTATGGCATCTGTCTGAAATTGGTGCTTTGTGAGAATTTGAAGTGCTCTTGTTACTACTGACGTGCATGAGCATTGATCTCCAAACCTGCAATTGAATTTATGGACTTGAGGAAGTCTTTGCTTAAGTGGAGTTGGTGGTACTGAGTTGTTTGTTCCAGTGTATTACTGCTGGTCCTGTTCTTCACCATCTTACTCCTGTACTTCTTATTGCAGGTCTTGATGCAGAGTTGTCTTATGTGAGGAATGATGTGGTTAATCACTATGCATTGTCCTTCAATCTCTTAATACCCAGTGAGACCAACAATCTTCACTTCAGCTGGCATGCTAAATCCAAGGTAAGCAGGCATAACTTCTGTGTTTAAGTACTTGATACATGATCTGTATTGCTCTGTGAATACCCATTATTATAATTTAATGGCTTGTTTCTTTGCAAAAACTAGCATATGCTAGGTGCAAAAGAATGACTCATATGATTGCAGGCAATAAGTTGATATGTATCTAAACTGCTCCTTTCTTGTTTTAGAAAGCTTAAGCACTTTTTTGAAGTGTTTTATACTTCTTGCAAGCTGCGTGTGTGTGTGTATGTGTGTATGTGTGTATATACACACACGCGCGCGCGCTACTGGCTGTGGAATCTCTTCTGGTGGTTCATTGAACACACAGAAGGGGCAGCCATGAACTGAAGCCTCTGGAAATCAAATGTAGAGCAATTGTGTTTTAGAGAGTTCTGGAAACATGTTTGGAGACAAGAAGAACCTATAAAAGTGGCATCTAGTATGTTATTACTGTGCCCTGATTAAATGGAAAGGGATTTTTATTTCACTTAATCACCATGGCTGGAACATGCAGCAACAGCTGTTGTAAAGATTGTGTATGCTCTTACATTTTGAAGGCTTTCCAGTTATTTAACAATTTATTTTTATATATGAAATGATCTGTTTAGTCTCTGCCAGATGTTAGTGTTTTTTAACTTAAGGACAGAAGAATAACCATCACTCAAGTAGGAAAGACTGCAGTAGGAACAGTAATATTCAACAACTCCACCAGTGCAATTTCTGAAGATTCCTTCTGTCAATATTCTTGCCTTTGAGGTGTAACTTCTTGAGATGTGACTTTTGGCCTGCAATGGTATTGGGTAGAGCGCCAGCCAGCCCTTCTACCTGATACTGTATTCCACCTTCACAGGCAGTTCAGTCAATTGCCATTTGAGTAGCACCTTTGAAAGAGTTTCCTTGCTACAACTTCAGCCATGAGCTACCTGCATCACTGTCCCTACTCTGAGTTTTCTTGAGCCTGCTTGTGAATTTTGAATAGGAATTTTTGAGTTTGTTTAGCCCTGCTTCCATTGCTGTGACTACACCACTTGGCATCTTCTGTGCTAACTTTGTAGGGTGGGTGTAGTGCAGTTTATAGGAACTCAGAAACTGGGTTATGTTTCTACCCTTGGCATCTAGACTGAAAAATATATTACATAAATGCATCCTATTATGTTTTAGAAAGAGGGAAAAAAAAAGGAAACTAATGGTACAAACAAAGTCAAACCAAGTTCATTCAGCTGAGTGGGGAGGGATAGGATGAATTTCTAACAGGAGCTTATGACTTAGTTACAATAGGTCCTGTTTGGTTTTTTTTTAATTAATATTTGCAGAATCACCTTTTGAAGTGGAAACAAAATCTTGACTGTAGTTGAATAAACTGTTTTTAAGCAATTTTGGCTGTGTAGTTTATAAAACTGACTAGAGGTGGGGGAATTTTTTGAATTCTTACAGTTTTAACAAACTGGCTTTTGAACAAGTAAGTTTAAAAGTATCAAGCAGGTGAGGTTTGTGGTGTTTTTTTTTTTTTTTTTTTTAATGCAGCACTTTAAATTCTGCCCCAAATTTTCAAGAATGATTTCAGGAGTGGCTTCTATTTTGGCTTTCTTAATTTGAACTTTCACATAAGTCTGATATTTAGACTTCATAAAACTCTGAATTTGGGCGCTTAAAATCACCAGCATTCTTTGAAAATAAGATACAGGTTTTTTAATTTCAAGAATAATTATGGAAAGTTATGTAGCATTTCTTTTTAATGTTGTAGAGATTTCTTACGTGTTTTCCATCTCCTGTCTGTTACAGGTTGAGTATAAACTGGGATTTCAGGTAGATAATCCCATGGCTATGGCTATGCCCCAGGCCAACATTTCTCTACAAGGAGAAGTTCCTCGAACACTTTCAGGTAAACTCCCCTCCCCCTGAAAGTGCACAGCTAGTGTTCTTACTAAGAATGCTTTTGGGTGGTATTTTGTTTTTTTTCCAAAATGCGTATAGTCTTGTGCAAGAGTGCAGTTTTTCTCTATTAAACATAATACCTTTACAGGCTTTCTGCCACAGTTATGACATTGCTAAAAGGGTATTATAGACTGAGAATATTAGTCTGAGAGTAGTATTTTTTTTCCCCTTGTTTAGTGGAGGATAGAGAAAAGGAAACATGACATTTTTTTATGTATATATACACACACAAGGTTTCCATTCTCATTCAACAACAGTAATAATTAACAAATTGCATGGATTTTAAAATCCACACCTTTTAATTTCTCTAGCCTACAGAGATGACATTTCAAGATGTGTGGGAGTTGTTAATACACTAAAGTGTTTATGGTAAGCTTAAAACTGTTAAAACTATTTTGAATATATACCAGCTCCTCCATAGAATTTATACTAGAAACAATTGCATTTGTTTCAGGAAATGTGCAAATCATGATCATTCCTGCGTGTTCTAGTATGGTTCCTCACTGTCTTATTGCTCCTTGAGTTATCTAACAGAGCACAAAATAGATATGATGCTTTGGTTGTGTACCACTTTTGTGAAAGCAGACACTGGTGAATTAGACTTGTTGTGTCTCCTCTGATGGTATAAATACTACTGGTATATAAACTAGAAAGTAAATAATGTCATATTAGTTTAAGCTTTGATTCCAGTCAGATTTGCAGAGACCAAAATATTTAAATTTAATGGTTGTGAAAAAACTGAACCTTCATAGTGTTTAAAAAAGCAATGAGGAAAACTAAATTTTCTGGGTTTCTGCGATAATGGAGGTTTCTCTTGTGACAGCACTTTAACTCCAAAGCTAATGGATGGCTAATGATCATTCATCCACAAATACAGTTTTAGTAATATGTAAATTTTTAATATAATTCACATAATTTAAAATCTAGGCCCTTTAACGCTTTAAATTACAAGGCATGAAGACTAAAATATCATTTCATAATAGCAAGTTCTCTAAAAATGTACTTTATCTAAACACTATTTTAAAGACCCTTATTTAACTGTTGTTTCGCCACAACATCTGAAAATTGCTCAAACTTAATTGTAATGTAATTGTATGTCTGTTTGCAGTGTTTCGTGTTGAACTCTCCTGCACTGGCAGACTCGACTCTGAGGTCACAATACTAATGCAGCTCAACTTGACAATAAATTCATCAAAAAACATCACAGTTTTAAATTTCAAACGAAGGAAAATGTGCTACAAAAGTAAGACCTTAAGTTTCAATATTTAAAAGCTTTTAGTGTGAAAAGTATGATAGGAAAGGAGGAGTGGGAAGGTGTATGATCCAGGACATGAGTAACAGTTCCCAAGAGTGAATGTTAGAGAGACCAGGAAGAAACCAGGTAAAATTCTGCCTTTCAGGGATGAATGGGGACCTTTGGTAAAAGCAGAAGCTGATGGATGAACAAATTCCCCTGGTGTTCTGCTGCATTGACTGATGTTTTTACATAAATAGCAAAAAGCATTTTCTCTGTGCTTGGAAGGAAGAAACTAGTTTCCTCAAAACTGCAGCACTCTAAATATGCAAATTGTTCCAAGAATTGCCAGCAAAATCTACTTAGCTTATAAATTGTGATAAACTCACTAAATAGCCAGTTTTAAATGTAAGCAGGTGTTAGTCTTTCAGACATGGAATACTGAATGATCTTTGTAGATAATGCAAACTTCAGAAATCCCAGATCAACTCTTCTGTGTTTTGACTTGGGGATCTGCAAGCACAATTTCCTCTTGGATTGTTACTATCTCCCTTTGCTGCTTCCTAGAAGTATTTTCACAGGCATCAGGAGAAAATTATGCCCAGGAACTGTACCCTCCTTAAAAAATGGCTGTGGTGTCCTGTTCTCGGGCAGCATCTGAGGATGGCCACCTCTTCACATACTGTTCCTGAATATTCAGTTTATTTGGAGCCTTTGAGGACAGTAACTGGCTTTTCAAGGGGGAGTTTGTCACTCTTCTTGAGTATGAAGGTCTAAGGATGAACTTCTTGAAGGTGTGGGTGAATGAGGTAGTGTGGCTGCTTAGTACAAAACGTTGCATTGATGTTATGGCAAGATCGTTCTTAATTCAAAGTGTATTCTTTCTAGTGAGAATGGAGGTCTGGCTGATAATGTTGACGTTTTTACCTTTGTTTTATGGTTTCCTAGGTACTCTTTCAAATGTTTTGAGTTTGGGGAAGTCATCACTGCTTATGCATTCATAGCTTATTGAGCTGCTCAATGTTCAGAGGAGGTTTCCATAGGCACCACATAGTTATCTGGGTGTGTGAGAGAGAGCCACTTCCTAAATTATGCAGAAGTGATTCTAACAAAGGTCACATTTCTGTGGGTTCATAAAAATGTCAATGACTTCTTTTTTCGGATGTCTGTTGATTGGTATAAAGCATCTGTAGATTTCTGATTTAATTTAGTGCGTAAGTTAAAAATATGCAGGAACTTGCAAGTTGTTTTGCTCAAGGCATTTGTAATAGTTCTCCTAAAGTCTAAAAAGAAGAAAAATCTCAGAGTTTTTTCTTCCTATCTCCTGGATTACTTTTTGACAAGTTTATCAGGCTGAACTGGCTTACCAAGGAGTCAGAAGGAGTTGTGCTGGGGAGGAAGCAGCTTGTCACAGCTGGGAGAAGGAAGGGGGGTGTGCAAGTGGGACTGTGCCTTTGCAACCACAGAAATCCATTATATTGCTTTAGCTGCACGAGTCCTCAGTGAGGTTCATCTGAAGCTATCTCCACAGCCTGCATTCCCTTGGTTTAGTGACCAGACTCAGTAAGCTTAGTGATGATTTATCCCCTTGCTAAAAGACATTCACACACGAGCCTGAGTATTGTTGCACCTCTTGTTCCGTATTTGTGAGGATTTAACTAGGCCTTACCTTTTTAATTCTTCAGTTTTAAAACACTCATGACTGTAGCATCATCTGAGAAAGTACAGTGCTTATGGCTGCATCTCTAACTTCTTCATAGGATGAGTAGCATTAGACTGGAGCCAGAATTTCTTCCAAAAGGTTAAGGTAGTATTGGTTGAACATTCAAGAAATTTTTTCTATCCTGTGGTAACTGATTCTGTGAGGTCTTTATTGTTTAGTGTCCTAGCATACACTCTCATACTCTGCACCTCCTCTTTCTGCTGTCTGCTGCTTTGGACTTTGGCGGAGAAACCGGAGGGCTTTTTGAGGTAGGTAGATCCAGTGGGTTCAAGCACAGCCTCAACAGACGTGTATCAGTGGTGAAATATGTCTGACCCATGTGCCTTAAGTGTGATTCTTATTATACAGTGGTAAGGTATTTAAAATGGCAATTTATTTTCCCATAAATTAAGCAGTTGACTTCTTGTGAAGGTCTACAATAATAAATATATACCAAACCTAATGGTTTTCTCTCATTTGTTTAGAGCTTGAACCAGAAGTAAAATCTCCAACATCTGATAAAAATAGCAGCAAGGCTATCTGTAAGTAGTTTTGAGTGTACAACTTCAGGTGTAAAAAATGATAAAGTTGTTATGTTCTGTTTCCACAGCTTTCCCTATGAAAACACTCCCCATGTAGTCTACTATACCCAGTATTTTAGTGGGGCTTTTTGTAATTAATTATTTTAACTGGGAATATATACTAATGAAAAAGGAAAAAAAACTAGTTCAAGTCTCCTTTTTTTTTTTTAATTGCATCTTAGGGGCTCTGGTTTTTGTACATGACTCGTCTATTTTCTTGACTTCAGGACCTATCTGGTTTGATGTTTTAACTTGTCAGTATTGAATAAATAGAATGAGGTAGTTTTTCTTACTCGTATTCTGGCTAGAAATGTCATTGTCTGTGCTGAGCCTTTGCAGTACCCGGAATGTAAACGTTTTTGCCAAAATGTTTTTGGAAAGCAGTGGAGTGCATTCCTCAGTTTTTCTCTCTACCACCTGCTGTCTCTTCCAGGGCAATTGTTCTCCATGATGTATGATCTAAAACTGGGGATTGGCTAGGGCTACTGCCTCTTCCTGCCTTCAGTCTCTCTGCCCATGTTGCTGCTTAACATTGGCTGAAGGACAGCCCTCTGCTGCAGAATTTTGCTGTATAACTCAACTGCAGTTGAGATTCTTTCAAGGAAGAGGATTAACTGCCCTGTTAACACTGCTAGCGTTAAGATTCAGGTCAGGAGGGCCATAATCCCACACACCCTAAAATCAGGAAGAGAAGCTGAAGTTGTGCTCTGGTACATTCAGTCAGTAAGCACTACCATCATAGTGCACCTAGCCTCATTTTATTTGCTGTATTGGTATTTCCAATGATACATAAATGGCATATAAATGATATATAAATATCATTTATTGGTGATTTCTGCTCTTCCAGCCCCACCTAGGTAGTCTCTGCTACTTACTGTGTTGGGGCTCCACAGGAGCCATGGAGGAAGGTTGTGTGAGGTATAATAGAAACAGCAGGACCAACTAGACCATTTTAGGATGTTCCTGGCTAGCTTTTATCCTTCATTAAGAACCGTCCTTTTGTCCCAGTAAATAGGTGGAGGCATTGAGTGGCTTCCTGGGCTCTGCCCTGCTTTGCTGCAGCAGGAACTGTGGTGCTCACTCTCGTGTGGTGACCATGGTCTGCTGCTGCTGCACGCTGGCTCCTGCTCCCTGCTGCTGCTGGGCCTGAGTGGCAGGGCACTGGGGGCAAGGTCTGGGAACTAACAAAGTGTCACTTGTTGTGGGGTTTGTTTGTTTGGTTTTTTGTTTGTTTTCTGGTTGTGGTTTTTTTTTGAGAGAGCACGGTTCAGTAACTTTTCACCTTTCTGTTTCAGTCGATCCTGTAAATGCAGCTCCCACCACTTCTACCCGTGTGTTTTATATCAGTGTAGGCGTGTGCTGTGCTGTTATATTCCTGGTGGCAATAATATTAGCTGTCTTGCATCTCCACAGCATGAAAAGGATAGAGTTGGATGACAGGTATGTACTCAAGCTTTTCAGGTGCATTTTTGTGACATGTTTATTCAGATTAGTGGGAGTTCTGGTCTTAAAACGAGCACTCTGTAGTAGCTTCCAATTTGTGCTCTTGATGTTAAGCTGTAGCAATTACAACCTGTGTAGAGTTGTGGTAAGTGCTATACTGCAGAAAGGCAGCAGTTGCAGGTGCTCTGCTGTTTATGGGGTGGGACGGTTGTGGCTGTTGGGTTTTTGCCAGGATAGGTGTGTGGAGGACACAACGGGGAAACATGGACAGAATCAGATCTATAGGGATTGTCAGGATTGAAGAAAAATTTGATAGATACATGGGCACACTGAGAATACTTGTTTTTTTCTGACTTCTACAGGAGATTGAATTTCAATTTTCTCTATTTTGATTGATTTACCAGTATTCACTTTGGCCTTAGGGTAAAGTTTGGGGATTACAACTGGTTGGATACAAAGCTGAAAATGTAGCGCTCTCCCAAGTGTATTTTCAATCCAGAAAAGCCGAATTGGCACATGTGTGCAAAAAGTGCTTGTAATGTGAACCCAAGGGCAATGCAGTCAGCTGAGTGGGGATTTAAACACTGAGGCGGAAGGGAGGCTGAAAAAGCAGGTGGACTGAGGCTCTGCTGAGGCTGTGAACAAGCTGCATCAGACACAACTGTCCAGAAGCAGGCAATTTTGAAACTGAATACTTTGGAAAACAGTTGGGCCTGTGGGTGGTCACCCCTGCTGAAAGGATATCTTGAACTGTTCCTGCCTGCACCCTTGGAGTAGCTCTGTCTTCAGCTTTCTCTCTATCCATTCATCTTTGGTTTACTTCCTGCTGCTTACACCTCTGGTGTCCCCAGACCACCTGATTTCTGGGGGGTGTCAATGTAGTAAGTAGTAAAGGTTTCTGAAGGCCTGATTATCTAAACAAATAACTTGTCAGCTTTCCTCCATTAATTTGTGCCTAATGGTCTACTGAGAGTTTTAACCAATAGCAAGGGATTAGAGGATGTGCAGCTTGCTTTAATTCAGAAGGGAAAAGTATTGCATTCATAGAATGTGAAAGTGGTGTCATCTATGAGGGTTTTTTTGAGTGTCTCAGCCTAATGGTGTGATTAAATGCCCTTTCATCCACTCCTGTACTTGATTTCTGTGGAGATACGAGCTAAAAATTCATCTACTGTTAATACTCTATAATTTGCAGGCATTAAAGAATTTGCTCTAAATCAGTATATGGCCACCTGATAAATTTCTACAAATTTTGTGCAGATAGTTGGATTTAGTGCTTCAGAGTGCCATGTGTGTTTTGAGCCCAGAGGTGCCTGACCTGACCAAATCTTGGGTGGGCTAAGAGCTGTGGTCAGCTAGTGTTGTAGCAACGATGTAACAGGCAAAATGTGTCTGAAATGAGGATCTGTAGAGTTTTGTTTTCAGAATGGGCACTGTGGATAGGAGCCAGCAAAGAGACTGTGAGGTGATGTTTCAGTGCTTGGTGGAGAAACCAGTTCAGTGTTATAATTTAGCCTCAGCATTACTATGCACTAGCATTACATATGATTGGTGACTGTTTAATGTAGCAACTAGTCAAGGGACTCATGAGAGAAGAAACAACTCCTGATTTGGTTTTGAATAACAAGCCCAAAACATTGCTCTAAAGGGGTTGTGAATCGAAGATAACGTCATTAGGGTTAACGACCTCCCAGGAGCAGCAGAGGCTGAAAAACCCACTGCTGTTGTTCTTAATTTCAAAAACCAGAACTAAATAAAAATGAGGAATGTTGTTAAATAGAAGCTAAAACCAGGCAGCTGAGTTTACAGGCTGCACATGGACTGTTTAAGAACATTGTATTGAAAGCTCAGAGCAAATGCTTGCTTACCTCCTATCAAAGGCACTTGAAAAAGTGCCAGAGAAAGTTGGCATGGCTTAACAGCAGGATAATGGAGGTTATTAAAAGCAAGGAGGCATCGTTCAAAAAGCTAACATAGTATGCAAGTGAGAAAACTGAGAAAGCCCATAAACCTGAGCAAGTTAAACCTAAAAACCAGAATGAAGCCAACCAGAAATGTAGTTTTTCAAACTTGCAACAGACATAAAATGAATAATTCCTTTTTCAAACTTGCCTGCAGCAGGAAGCCAGCCGAAGAAATCTGTAGGGCTAGTAGGTGATCAGGTTACAAAAGGAGTTTCCAGCCATAGCAGGAAAACAAAATGCAAGATCTGCATCAGTGTTTACTTCAGTGACCATGCCAGGATGCTTCTTCCCAGGGAACTCGCTGGATAGTGGATTATAATGAAGCAGCTTGTAGTTGCAATAGTGTGAACAGTTAAAATAAGTAGTAATAGTAAGCAGTAATAAGTTGCCAGCACCAGAGAGTATTCATTATTCATTCAAAAACTCTCAAGGGAGTTAAAGTGGAGTAGCTAGACTACCAACTGTGGCTTTTAATCTCATACTAAAAACTGTGCTGGAACCCTATACATGAAAGACAGTGAATGTGGGAATAAGTTTAAAAAAGGGTTTCCAGAGAGACATTGAGGGTGGCTATAAATCAGTAAGCCTGATGTTCTTATTGTGAGAATTAGTAGATTCTGTTGTAAAGAAAAAATTCAGCGTTTGCATCTCTGATTACAGTATGATGAGGAATAGTTGATTTAGCTTTCTTTTTTATTTAACGAATGTCATACTTCAAAGCTAACAGTGGTCCTTGAGAGCATCACCAGGCATGTCTGAATCCTTCCAGGGTGGCTAGCACTGCTTGGTCAGTGTTCAATAGCAGCCCAAGAAGTAAATGGAATGCTGATTATGCAGCAAGGCACAGGGTTATATCCAAAAGCAATTTCTTTGTTCTCCTGGTATAGTCAGCAGAAGTGGAGAAGCTTTTAAGTTTCAAAAAAGCAGGGGGGTGTTTGGTGTGTTTGGAAGGGGGATCAAAAAAGCTTCTTCTGGCCCTGCCATCTGATCTAGTAATAGGTACAGCCTTTGCCTGCAAACTTGCTCACCTGTTCTTAGGCAGTTACAGCTCCAACAACTCTTCCAGTAGGATTGTGCCTATGAGGTTAGGACAGAAGACATCCTGTTACCATTTAAGCTGTGGTTTGCCTGTCTCTTGAATGCTATGTTCAGCTATGGTCCTTCTACTCAAGAAAAATATCCCAGAAGCACATTGTAGGTGGCTCTGGAAGGGGCAACAAATATCATTAGAGAGGAATGACAAAGTAGATTAGGGCAGCTGGGTCTGTAAAAGAGAGCTGAGATGGGTACAGTGGTATAGGGCATACAACTGTTTGCAACAGTGAGGTAGGGAATCTCCAGCACAGGAACTAAAGGGCAGCAGATTGAGCTAGCAGCTGGCATGCCCGGAGCAATTGAGATGAGATCCCTCTGGCTGAAAAAGCTAGTTAAGTTTTGCAGGGTATTATGGGTGCCTCTCTGTTTGGCTCAGGCTACTTACTGCTTTCAGACTCTCACAGTTGTTGATGTTGGTACCATGGAAGAGATGCATACAGGTCATCTCTGGAATATAGTAGGTTTTTTTGTTTCTGGTATGACGGGGTGCTTTTTGCAACATACATTTTGTCACCTTGATTTTTTTGAAAGTGGGGAAAAAAGCACTGGAGAACAGAGCAAATTCTGCAAAACAAATAGGAGGAAGTTGTTCACACTTAAAGGACAGAAGTGCTAAGATTTTTTGAGTTACCTAAAATACATTTTAATGGGTGAGAGACTTAAAAAATGCCATTCTTTAAAAATGCCATGCAGTCTAGCCTGCAAAATCTTCTGGTTTTAACTTTAATAAGTTAATTTTGAATTTATTATGGTGCCAAGCAGTCATGTTCATGTCCATTTTGTTTTAAAACAGCATTAGTGACAGCAGTAGCTCACAAGGTTTATCCCAACCTTCCACACAGACGACACAGTACTTGCGAGCTGACACGCCAAACAATGCAACGCCAGTAACCAGTAAGTGTTAATCTAATTACAGACTCTTGCAAGAGACCCTCATGGACACAGCTGGAGTATTTGGTGATAGGGGTCACAAATTTAGTATCAAGTACAAGAGAAGAGCATGAATGCTCTCCTGGCTCTGTCAGTTTGCCTCTTGAGGTCATGTGGTGTGTGGTTTCATCCAGCCATGCTATAGTCAAGATTGAGGCCTCCTTAAGTACTGGGGCCCAGGTGTCATCACATGAGCATAACTGTGTTTTGTGGGATGGGGTATTCTCGCTGCACATAGATCAGTCTAAGGCTTCACTAGTGCCTGTGAAGCATCTGTTTCCGTAACACTGGAAAGAAGCTGCCTTAGGCAGTTCAAGCCGAGGGTGGTATAGAGCTGGAAGAGATAACAGCAAGTGGAAGTATCCACCTAGCCCTGGGATAGTTACTGAGTGGAGACCAAAGAAAGCAGTGTGTGTGTTACTGATGGTTATGTTTTTCTTTTCACCTTGTTGCTGCAATCTGCAATGGAAATGAACAGGGGAAAAAGCTTTAGAAGCATGATATATTTCTGATCTCTTACTGTTTATAGCTTTGCTTGAAAGAACATGAAATAGTTAAAAAGAACAGTGAATTAAAAGGAAGGGTGGCATTAATAATGATTAATGACTTGATTTTTTTTTTTTAAGCAACTAATAAGACCAAGTCTCCCATTGTCTTTTCATTGCACTTACTAGTGATACTGACCATCCTAATTCATAAGGGAGCACTGCAGAGATGTCATGATTACTCTTCAGCCCTACTGTGTTTTCCTGTTTCCTCCCCATGTGTGGAAACAGGTGTTTACCTAAGATTGAACTGCAACTTGGGAAAGTTTTGGCTTTCTCCTGAAATGTACTATATCTCCCTAAAAAAAAAGAAAAAAATTTTTTTTTTTGGTCATACAAGTTCATATTTCCCTTGTGAAGAGCTGTTTTTAAAATTTATTTACTAGAAACATTAATTTAAAAATAAGTAATATAAAAACCCCTTCCTTCCATAGAGTTTGGAAGACACCTTAACATGCAACTGATTCTTGGGCTGGTTTTCCCCTCTTGCCACCCAAAGTCCTTTCCCAGTCTTTTTATTTTCCATCTCATATCCCTGACCATATTGTGCTGTTGATGTTCTAGCAACCTCAGGATTTTAGGTTGGCCCTCTAAGTGACACCATTTGGTTAATTTGAATATGACCCCTGGAAACTCATTACTGAGCCTCTGGCAGAAGGGGAGAGGACCAAGCCCATATGATTAAACCCTCCTCACCTTGACGAGGACAGTAGCCATGATGCCTAAATGGCACCTGTATTCTGTGTTCAGTCCCTGTTGTTTTGAAATGTCTCTTACCTGTTTTGGGACACCCCCGGCAGCACAGAAAATGGTGAAAATTAATGTAAGACGAAAAAAGGTTGGATGCACAAAATAAAAAGAAAGAACATTCTTAGTCTTTCCACAGCTGTACTAACTTTATTTTCAGTAACACTATAATGTAAGAAAAAAAATCAAAGTAGTTCACAAAATTTTTCTCATTTATAAACTTGTATAAAAACATTCAGTGCTTTCTGACTATATTAGTGCACCTACATGTCTAGAAGGGCCAGAAGAGGGCAGTGGTAGTTTTGGTTACATCCCGCTGTGAGGCATCTTCCTCACTCCAACAAGGCTTCTGACAGTCTTTGACTGGTCTTTATTTCCTTGTCAGGGAAGTGCAGTGTGGTGTTAATCAGCTTCAGTACGTAAGAAGTTTTGTTTGCTAGGTGTTAATAATGAGACCTGATTGCATGACACTATGTAGAATTCCTTTGTGATTTTTCTTCCCCACAGATTATTATATTCACATGATTCGCTTGTGTTTTTTGTTTAATACTATAATCATTTTAAGATTAACTCATATCTTTTTAAGTACATGCTGCTTGCATGTCTTTATACCTACAGGTGGTGCTGAGGTGAAGCAATGTGCTTGTGTTCTTGTTATAAGGGTATTTATATTGGTTTGTTTGGCTCTGCTGGCTCCTCAGGTTATCCTACGTTACGGATAGAGAAGAATGATCTTAAAAGTGTCACTCTAATGGAGGCAAAAGCTAAAGTGAAGGACATAGCCATCTCCAGGGAGAGGATAACTCTAAAAGATGTGCTCCAAGAAGGTATTTATAGGACTCAGACACTTGTTAGTTACAACATGGTGTATATATATACATATATATATATATATATATTTATAGCTAGATTTTTTTTCTGAAATTAATCATGGATTACATTTCTGATCTTCTTTGGAGAAGAATGATGAATGTTTGCATTTGGGGTGTGGGGAAAACAGTTTCTAGAATTCACTGGTACAGGGGAGCAACTAACCATGCTCAGTAAATCATTGAGCTTGTCTGTCTTAATCTGGTCCTTTAAAGGAAGGGGTTAGATGGCTCAGGAATGAGGTAATTGGTTGGGGCTGCAAGTGGCAAAGTAATGCTGCTATAAGTTACTGCAGAGAGCTTCTCTTGACTAAAAAAAAAACAAACCAAACCAAAAAACCCTCTGTTGTCTAAACTTATTGTTTCAATTTGATAGCTTCTGCTTTGGAAATCTAATCAGCAGATGCCGCATTTACAGCTCTGCTATGAAAAATTCAGAGATTACCTGATTCTTTTGTCTTGTTTAATGTTTACTTTGGAAGATTTCATGCACAACATTTTTTATATTGAATTTGGGAAATAGCCTTAAATATTTAGGGGTTTTTGTCAATAATCTTTACTGTTGCAACTTCAAGTCTTTGTTCCCTAAGCCCTATGAGAAATCAGACTTTTCAAAGCTGGAAGTCTGAGATTATATCCTTTGGAAGCAGAACTGCTAAATGCTTTGCATTACTGTCAAAGAACAATGGGATGATGCTAACACTCCCCATTTAATATATGCCTCGGAATCTCTAAGGAGGGAGCTTTGTGCTCCACTCCGGTGTCAGTTCCACAAAAAGCTTCCTTTGCATGCGGGATGTGCTTTGTGTTCGTTTGTACTGTCTGTTGCCTGTAGCTGTGATGTTAGGAGTCATCTGATGACTAGAAGTGACTCAGTGCTGCAGCTACACTTCAGGTGTTCAGTGTGGAGTGACAGAGCTGCCCTGTTCTGCAACATGTGGCTTAAACGGCTGCTGAATGCAGTGTGGACCCAGTTAATACTGGGGTGTTGTTTCTTGGCCTCCAGCTGTTGTCTGAGTCTGTTAAAACCTTCAAGAGTTAGAGGACTAGAAGACACATCCTGATGAACAATCATCAGTTTTAGTTCAGGACTGCAGCAGACGTGAGTCTCTGAGATGACAGAGCTTCAGAGGGGAAGAAGTGAATAATAGAAACATCTGCATAAAACTGTCAGGAATTTTTAAGTGCTGCCGATGAAACTTGAATATATCTTACACACCTTGGCCAGAAATTCATTATAAACTTCAAGTAGCTTCCATAACGTAATCTATTTGAACATTTTAATAATTTAGGAGATTATGACTCTATTGTGGTATAACCAGTAAAGCAGCAGGTCTGAAAGTGGCAGAGGGATCTGTAGGGACCTTTTGTATTGCTGGGCTTGCGCAGCACCTGATTCTGAATCTGCTTCAAGCTCTATTGTACTAGATACAAGACAAAAATGTAGGTGTCCTAAAATAAAGTTTCTGGTGGAATAGCTATGCTTTAGCAAATTGAACAGATATAAATGTCCACTTACTGTTCATCATTTTCTGGTAAAGCAGAGGAAAGGCTTAGATGTGCCATCTGGAATGCAAACACCATAATCTGTAAAAAGCCCAGAGGAGAGTGAGGAAGAAATAGCATGTGCACAGTGCTGTTGCTAAATGTTATAGCACACCAATGATATAAAATTCTTGCTAAGATAGGTGTCTTTCAGGGTACTATTAGGGGAAAACAAACCAAACAAAAAACCACTACCAAAACAACAAAATCCCAAACTAGATCACAGAGGCATGCTGTGTTATGGTCCTACTGTGTCCAGATACTGGATTGTGTGAAAATTACTTTCTAATTTTTACATGCTTCCCCAGTCTCTTTAATTCCAGCATTTACAGATAGCTTGATACTGTGTTTCAGTACAAGTTCCCTTTGACTTTACCATGTATCTTTATATTGAAAATATGTATTGAAGGCACTTTCTTGATGTTTTTAAAAACCAGGATAGAAGGGTTTTGATTTGCTGTTAAAAAATTAATGCTGCCTTGTAGTCTCCTTAATTAAACTACTTCTTAGTGAGATGACCCCTGCCTTGCAGGGTTTACTTTACAGTCCCGGAGCAGGTGATAGAAATGTTGCACTGTCCCTGTTAAGTATTTAGAAACCAAATAAGACCCACGCTTCATGACAGAAGATGTACAACCAGGCTAAGGCAATCCTACCAAAGATCTTTCAGCCTAATCAGACGGGACAAATCAATGGGAAAGGGATGTAATGTATGAATAGACTGCATGAAGATGATGCATGCATTGGTGCCATGGTGATAATGTTACAGAAAAGAATTGTCCACCTGAGTTGTATAAAAAGTTAATTCTTTGTGTGTTACCACGACGCAATTGCACTTAGTCCAGCTGTTCAATGTATCTCCTCTTCATGTTAAAAATTTTGTGAATGGAAAAATGTTGGAGAGACTGAAAAAGCCCCCAGACAAACCCAACATCTTCCAGCTGAGATGAAACATTTAAGTAATGTGGTACTGGATTTTTTTCAAACTGTTCCATGTGTACCAGTTGGCTGAAACTGGTTTCCCTCTGAACATTTATAAAAGAATTCAATCTTTGTGAGAAATGTTTTGACTGGAGAATTCTAGACTGGCTGAATGAGAAAAGGATGGAGCTAGAGTTTTAGAGCAGACTGTTGACAAAGACTGAACTGCCACAAATAAACCAATCATTTGTATTGATACTTAATTTAACTGGATTCCTCTGCTATCATTAGTTCACTCTAACACTTGTCCCCCTAAATTTTAGTTATCTAAACCTTCCGGCACTTACTGCATATAGTTCTGAATCTACCTTGTGCTGGAGAGGTGGCTGGGTTATATAGTGTTGACTTAATAGGGCATTCAAGACTTCTGCTTTAACTGCTGTTGTTCCTAACTTTCTGCTGTGGGTGCTGCATTTTGAGGTAGTATTTTCTTAAGATATAGAATTCTGTTAATGTTATCAGTGTATTTTAACCACATAATACTTACTAATTTTATGTTCTCTTCATAGGCACATTTGGGCGCATTTTCCATGGGATTCTAATAGAAGAAAAAGACCCCAGTAAAGAGAAACAAGTTTTTGTCAAAACTGTTAAAGGTATGTGTTTACATGAAGGAGTGGTTTTGTGTCCAGTTGTTTAGATTATGGTGCATGCTGAGTGTATCAAATCTGTCTTTAAAAACAATCCCCTCTTCCCCAAAATATGCAAATGGCTACTGCTTAAAAAGCAAAAGCAATTGGGATGCTGCTTCAGCCAGAGAGAACAGAAATCTTATATGGAAGAAAACCGCATGTGTTCTCCACCAGTGCCTTCAGTTGTTATGTCTTGAATACTTTCGTTTATTATTTTTCTAAGTAAAAATTATATTTGTGTTTTCCCCCTTAGCATGTTACTGTTCTTTTCCATCCACAGCATTTTCCCCCTGCAAATTGCTGAAAAAGGGACTTGCAGTGCCTCTGAAAGATCTGTTACAAACATGTGTGGCTGTACAAAAGATAGGGCGTAGTTTCTGCCGTCCTTAAACTTTGCTACCAAAGCATGAGAATTATAATTTAGAACTTAATTTATACAAATATAGCAGCTTTGTTCAAGAAATATGTTGTTGGAGTGAATTAAGTCATGATAGGTAGACTTAAGAAACAGCAAGGTAAGTATAGATGAAAACAGTATTACACATATCCTACATATATCCCTTCCACCACACTCATCATTGTGAGAGTTCTGTAGTAGCTCACAACAGTTTTGCTGAATTCCCTGTACAGTACTTGCTTCACCAGTTATTTTTGTCATTTCAACTGGGTGTATTACTGGTTTTTCATTTTACAACTTCTTTTAAAAAAATATAATCAGGTTTTATAGTAATTTTAACATGTCTTAAATTTTTTTGCCTGGCTAGTAATTTTAAAAGATACTAATCATAAAGAAGGTAGGGATTGGTGAAGCTAAACTTTGTTGTTGCATCTTTCTGCTACCCATTTATTCCATGCCATTTTAAAGAAAAATATATTGCTTAAAGCAACCTTCTGTTATTCTTGGTATGTTTCTCCCACAGAGTCAGATGCTTGTGCTAATAAAGTGTATGTGGAAAGCCACTTTAGAAAAAGATTCATGATCACTTCAAGGGGAGAAATTTCTTAGCCAACCTGATTTGGAATAAAAGTAGCTAGAAAAGGGGTCCCTACTTCTTGAAATGGTCTGAAGTGGCAGTTAGGGATGGATGCTATTGCATTCTTTAGTTGCACGTTGTTCTTGATACAGGCCTAGTGGGATGGTGTGCTTTGGTGGTGAAGACAGGTCAGTGCCTGATACCATACCTGCTGCTCTAAACAAAATATGTTGAACTTAAAAGGTCTGACTTGTCAGTATTATGAGCCAGGTACCAGCTGTGAGTAATCAACATACGCAGTGTGAAATTAACTTCCTTTCCTGCCTGAGAAATCCCTACCTCCTAATCAGCCTGGTATGGCCAGACTGTAAGGTGGGATGGGTACTGACAGTGAGTACTGCTCTGGGCAGTGGGAGGGTAACCTGTGAGTAATCTGTCTCAGTGCTGAGTCAGCCAGCAGAGTCTGATCTGTGCTGTGGAACAACTGTGTTTCTGCTAATGAGATTTACAAGAGGGCTAAACAGTGAGGATTTGCTGCTGTCACTTGTCCTACTGTTTTCTCTTGCATGTCGTTGTGGGTGTTCCTAGATTCAGAGTGACAGTTACTCTCATCACAAGATGCTTCCATTATTTCTTCAGGAGTGTCTCTGAGGTGGTATACTTTGGTTCTGTAGCACTTTTCCTCCCTGTTAAGTCCAGAGAGGACTTCTGAAGAAGTAGATACACTGCCCCTTTGGAAGATGTTGGTAGCTAGCACTGTGTTTGCTAGTCATAGCCTTAGCAAAATTAATGGTCATCTTATATAAAGGCAAGTATTTTGAAGTGACTTCTAGCAAGAAGCAAAGGAGTGTCCTCTATTAAAATTAAATAAAAAAGGTATGCTTCTTTACAGTATTTTAAGAACTGTTCCTGAATTCTGCCCTCTTCTGTTGCCCTCCCTCCTCCCCCCGCCAGGAGTCACATTGCTTTTATTTGATATAGTTTCCAAAAGACTTACCCCGTATCACGTGAGCCTGGTGCTCCTCTGTGTGTGATGAGGCAGTTTGACTTGGGGCATCATTCACCAGTGTCACCTCAATCTGTGATCCCCTTTGCTGTGTTATTTGGTGGTTCTCTGCCCTGATTCAGAGTCAACAAATGCTATAGCTATGTGAGCCCCAAAAATGTTGTGAGCGGGTGCAGTTTGACAGCTGTGCAGCACTACTCAAGCATGCTTGCTCTTTATAGCATTGGATTAAATGTTAGTGAAAACAGATCTTAATTTAGCTGCCTCCCATCACCATTTATCCAACTGCTTTACCTCAGTGGGGCTTCCAATCCAATCTTAAAGCTGCCTTTCTCCCTTTCAGTGGCTTGTATCTTTGATGCAACACACATCCTCACTTCTTTAGCCCTTCCCTTTGCAGTGAAAGACTTGCTGGCTGTGGTGACCTAGAGCATGGTCTTAAGGGAGTAATGATATTCACATAATTGTTGCCTGTGGAGAATTTCTCAGCTTTAAAAAGGATCTATATGGACAAAGTTTATAATAGATTTTACTGATACTTGTCTGTGAAACAATACTGGTTTGGGCAGCAGAACGTTGCTAGGAAAATAACTGTAAACATTCCCCCATCTCCTTACAGCAGTTCATTTGCAGTGGTAATATTAAGCAGCCTCATCTTCGTACCCTGGCTGTGATAGCTGTGTGTGCAGCTGGATCATGTAATAAGTTGGGAATTTGATCTGCTTGGAAAAAAAAAACCTGCAAAAATTCTCTCTTAACCACATTTTTTTCCTCGGTCTCGTTCATTCTGTGACCACACACACACACTGCTGTTTTGGCACAAATGCAGGAGTAGGGCAGGACCACAAAAGCGAGATGGGTAGGAGAGCTATTAAACTGACTTAAGCATTTCTGTTGCTGAAGGCAAGAAAGGAGCCTGAGGATCATGAAAAAGAAACAAGGAAAAAAGGCTTTGTCTGTGTAGCTAAGTTATCCACCCAGACAAGTAAGAGCTGCTCCAGAACTGTCTTGTTTTACCCAGTAGTGCACGCTGATAAAATAAAATCCAGTGGTACCCCGAATGTCAGAAAATAATGGGCAGGGAGTGTGGGGTGTTTCAGATCTTCTGAAAAAATGTGAACTGAAATTCTCTCAGAAGATGGTGTGAGGAAGAATAACCTTCCGGAGAGAAAAAATACCTCTTCTCCCCAGGATCAAGAGCTTGAGAAACTTAAGACAATGCATTGGCTGTTTTGACATTAGGGTAGTTGCTATGGCTTTAAATCTGGAACTGGCAATAGAAGAAACTATTTGGAAGGAGAACACCTTGACATGGCAAATATGATCAGTATACTTGTGTCCAAACTAGAATTTCATATTAGAATCATATAATCATTTGAGTTGGAAGGGACCTTTAAACAGCATCAAGTCCACTCCCCTGCCATTGGCAGAGACACCTTCCACTAGCCCAGGTTGCCCAAAGCCCCATCCAATGTGGTTTTGGACCCTTCCAGGGAGGGGGCAGCCACAGCTTCTCTGGGCAACCTGTGCCACTGTCTCACCACCCTCACTGTGTGGAGGGGGGCAGGGGGGAATTACTCCTTATGTCCTATCTAAATCTATCCTCTTTCAGTTTAAAACTGTTGGCCCTTGTCCTGTCACTACAGGCCATGATAAAAAGTCTTGTATATAAGCCCCCTTTAAGTACTGAAAGACCACAGTAAGGTCTCCCTGAAGCATTTTCTTCTCCAGGCTGCACAACTTCAACTCTCTCAGCCTTTCTCCATACCAGAGGTGTTCCAGCACTCAGATCATTTTCATGGCCTTTCTTTGCACCTGCTCTAACAGGTCCTTCGTTTTCTTGTACTGAGGACCCCAGAGGTGGATGCAGTACTCAAGATTGGGGTCTCATGAGAGCAGAGTAGAGGGGCAGAATCCCCTCCTTCAACCTGGGAACTTTCTCTAGACATGACCTTAGTTGGTGCAGTTGTGTATTGGATGTCAGCCTTCACCCCTGCAGAATAATACCCAAGTTTGCATTGTGCAGAGAGGTAAAGCTAGTGGAGTAAGTGATTATCTGCTGGATGTGCCTGAGAAAGCCCAGCAAACAGTATATATGGGACTGGAAGACTTCCTTGTGCCATGGGCAGGTCATGTACGTTGGCTTTTAGGAGAAGACATCTGCTGTGCTAGGAAGCGTGACAAAGAAGGGTTATTGTGCCATTCAAGCAATGGTTTCTGAATACTGCTCATTAGGAAAAACCTGTGAAGACTGGTCATGCCCTGGATAAAATAGGCATGACCATGATATGACCATTATGATAGCAGGTGATTATCATAACGGATATCTTTTCAGTTGTTGCTGTATTACAGGATCCATAACCTTTCAAGACGGGTTGCTTCTAACAATGTAGAGAGTGGAGAATGTGCTGTCAGTTTTCTCATTTCATATCCTGGAGACGATGCATGTTGTGGCTGACATGCTCATCGGACAATAGACCCGAGTATTTCTTGCTCTGAGATGAGTGTGTTTGCAACCTTGTCAGTTTGCCCCTCTGCCATCATCTTATCTCTTCCTAGGGTTGATCATTTTCCCCAGAGGATCAAAAAGCAAAGATAGTTGACTGGTTATGGCAGTGACTGCAGCAGCCCTTCGCACTTTCCTTCCCTAATGTTTTCTAGCCCTCTGTTAAAGTGTTGAGCATTACTGTAAACCAGAAGAGTGCTGACTGAAATCAAGAAATCGTGTTTTTTCTGAAAATTAATACTTGTTTTCCCTTCTGAAGTGATCTACTGTTAAAGGAATCGGTAATACATAAAACCTGAGGAAGCCTGGACCTGCCTACCTTTGTCCTGAGTAGCTCTGTAAGTGAAAGAGTGTGTGAGACTAGTTTCCAGGAATGTATTGTATTCCCTATTTTCTCAAACTGGGATTGACCTTTTAGGTCAGACTCTGAAAGAGCAGGTTTGATCCTAATAAAGCAACATCAGTGCAGAAAGCAAAT